AGCGTTCAACTCCATGGCTCAGCAAAATTGCCATTCATGGTTACAGATGGAAGAATATTATTTGTAACCCATTTTCCCATAACATATCCAAAGTCTCCAACGCAAATTAATAGAGGCTCTTGACATGTTAATAATCTCAAAAAGAGAATAATTTGGATCTTCCGTTGGAACTAGCCATGACCGCGGATGATGTAGAACATTTCCGGAATGAGTATACAGCCAAGATCCGGATTCCCCTCATCGAGACTGATGAAGAATATCACAATCTCATCAACAGGATGAAGCATAGTGGACCCCACTATCAAATGCAGCTGTCTCCTGATCGACTCCAACCTTATCCAGGACACGTGGAGCAACCTTGCATTATTTGGCAGAAAGTGATCAGCCAATCCTTTCAGCCGACGCTACACAGACAAATCAGCTCAGCCAAAGCTTATCTACAACAGTCTATCTCTTTGAAAACCAGGGAGGGTAACAGTGTGTATCAGTGTATATAATTGTAAAAACTGTAGCAAAGAGCAAATAATTGTAGTCCTTTTGTATTTATTTTTTGTCTCTTTGTATTTACTTTTAGGTAGATTTTCAAAAAGCCTATGACTAGGCTTGCCTAAAGAGTTAGAAAAATTGGACAACTTTTTAGACATAAAGTCTTTACAAAGTTAGATATGTTAGATATGAAGTTAGATATGCAATAAGTTATACTTGTTTGTATTCTCCTCTTGTAAGTCTATATATTGGCCTTTAGCCAACATTATGAAGCATGTAAATTCCCTTCAACTTCTCTCCATCTTTTGAGGGGAATACAAACAAAATATAGATGGAGAGAATTGAAAATTATGGTGTCTAGAAGCAAAGGTGAAAAACAAATAAAAATCAAATTTCTAACTCACCATATGTCAAAAATATTGTGATAAAATTTAAAAAAATTAAAAATTGGTTGTAATACATTTCCTAAAGAAAAGGATTTCCAAAAAGCGTAAAAATTAAATGGAAACGTTGGAAAAAAGAACAAAATTTTTCAAAAAAGAAAAAGTATATTCGAAAAAGAAACCCAACAAGTGTTTCAAAAAAGAAAACTTGTAAATGTTATCATTTGTAACGAAGAATCACTATGCACCCGAATGCCCAAAACGGGGAAAAGTGCAAAGAAAATGATCAAAGTCCTTGAAGAACAAGATTTGAAATAATATATGGAGAAGAAATTTCTGATGAAGAAGAAATCTTATATGAAATTTCTATGTGATGAAGAAAGTTCAAGATGAAGAACTAATCTTCATGATGACTAATAATAGTCAAGAAATATCTCAAGAAGCAAATAGTATATCTCAAGAAGAATTACAGCAATTCGACTTGGAGATGTAATCGGAGAGAAAAACTTTACCGACGAAAATTAGCAAAATTTGAAAAAATGCAAGAAGTTGCTATTCCAGATTTACAAACTTTCAAAATTTAACTTCTTTTCAGCAAGAGTGTTTGAACAAGTGTAACATTAAGCAAAATGGGTCAGAAGAAGGAAATATTGATCTTCGGAAAGGGAGCTTTTTACTTATGGAATTATGGTGGAGTTATAGAATAAGGAATTATGATAGAGAACTTAGAGACAAAGAAGAAAGCAAAAAGATGGAGAGAAGTTGAAGGGAATTTACATGCTTCATAATGTTGGCATAAAGGCCAATATATAGACTTACAAGAGGGGAATACAAACAAAATATAATTTATTGCATATCTAACTTCATATCTAACCTATCTAACTTTGTAAGACTTTACGTCTTAAAAGTTGCCAATTTTTGTAACTCTTTAGGCAAGCCTAGTCATAGGCTTTTTGAAAAATCTACCTAAAAGTAAATACAAAGAGACAACAATAAATACAAAAGGACTACAATTATTTACTCTTTGCTACAGTTTTTACAATTATATACACTGATACACACTGTCTACCCTCCCCGATTTTCAAAGAGATAGACTGTTGTAGATAAGCTTTGGCTGAGTTGATTTGTCGTGTAGCGTCGGCTGAAAGGATGTGGCTGATCACTTTCCGCCAAATAATGCAGGTTGCTCCACGTGTCCTGGATAAGGTTGGAGTCGATCAGGAGACAGCTGCATTTGATAGTAGGGTCCATTATGTTTCCATCCTGTTGATAAGATTGTGATATTCTTCATCAGTCTCTGATGGAGGGGAATCCGGATCTTGGCTGTATTGCCCATTCCGGAAATGTTCTACATCATCAACAGGATGGAAGCATAGTGGACCCCACTATCAAATGCAGCTGTCTCCTGATTGACTCCAACCTTATCCAGGACACATGGAGCAACCTGCATTATTTGGCGGAAAGTGATCAGCCACATCCTTTCAGCAGACGCTACACGACAAATCAGTTCAGCCAAACCTTATCTACAACAGTCTATCTCTTTGAAAACTGGGGAGGGTAGACAGTGTGTATATAATTGAAAAAACTGTAGCAAAGAGCAAATAATTGTAGTCCTTTTGTATTTATTTTTGTCTCTTTATATTTACTTTTAGGTAGATTTTTCAAAAAGCCTATGACTAGGCTTGCCTAAAGAGTTAGAAAAATTGACAACTTTTAAGACGTAAAGTCTTACAAAGTTAGATATGTTAGATATGAAGTTAGATATGCAATAAGTTATACTTTGTTTGTATTCCCCTCTTGTAAGTCGATATATTGGCCTTTATGCCAACATTAACTTCTCTGCATCTTTTTGCTTTCTTCTTTGTCTCTAAGTTCTCTATCATAATTCCTTATTCTATAACTCCACCATAATTCCATAAGTAAAAAGCTCCTTTCCTTTTTAGTTGTAATTGGTATCAGAGCAAATAATTGTAGTCCTTTTGTATTTATTTTTGTCTCTTTGTATTTACTTTTAGGTAGATTTTTCAAAAAGCCTATGACTAGGCTTGCCTAAAGAGTTAGAAAAATTGGCAACTTTTAAGACGTAAAGTCTTACAAAGTTAGATATGTTAGATATGAAGTTAGATATGCAATAAGTTATACTTTGTATTCCCCTCTTGTAAGTCTATATATTGGCCTTTATGCCAACGTTACGAAGCATGTAAATTCCCTTCAACTTCTCTCAATCTTTTTGCTTTCTTCTTTGTTATCATAATTCCTTATTCTACAACTACACCATAATTCCATAAGTAAAACGCTCATTTTATGGTACAGAAGATATTATGGTACTTCAAACCAATACCTATGATAAAGCTGAATATGAAAATATTGTTGAAATATTGGATTATTGGAGAAAATTATATAAAGACCCATACATAGGTCTTGATGAAAGAAATAGGCTACTGGATCAAATAAGAGAAACTTATCTAGAAAATGAAACCCTTTTACAACACTTTAATTATGATATTAATATGTCACCTAATGATGATGACAGCCAATCATCCTCATCTGAAGAATCAATAGATCAAGATATTTCATCAGAAATAAATAAAGGGAAAAGAAAGGCAGAAGAGCCAATTGATCCCGAATTATTTGGCACATGGGGAGATGGAGAAAATTTTGACTTTATTCAAAATCTACCTAGAAGTTTCTTACTTGGGAGTACATAATTAGGCTTCTGAGAAGAAAATGTCAACTAAATAGGAGGTTCCTGCTACTAAACCTCAAATACAAGTGGTGCTGCCCCTCTCCTATTTAAGTCTCTAACATTTTTGTGCAAGTACGATTAAAGAAGGGATGCATCTGCCAGGTCCGTGTAGCACTTCAAGTTTCAAAATTGATAAAAAAAGACAATCTCTTTCATATTTTTTTACTATACAAAAAGATTATTTGCATACTTCATGATATGCCATTCATAGCATAATATTAGCCTGGGAGAAAAAGTTTCTCCACATACAACATTGGAGGTTCTACATAAACAATCTTCTTTTACTAGCCACAAGTGAGGTTCTCATAATGAATCACAACTACCCTTGGATGGGGGTGTAAGATTTCTGAATAATAATGTGTATATTCAATTGTGTTTTTGATACAACAATACATCGGTATATATAACAATCCAAACCCTAGAACTGAAGAAGGAAACAAAAATACATGCTCAAACCCTAATATATACAAAATATAATATATACATAAAACCTAATATTCTCACGGGGGTTCCTCTTGACAGCTTGTATGCAGAGTTTTGTTTTGCTAAACAAGAACACAAGGGGACTTTTCCCTAACGTTTATTATATTTTAGTAAAGGACTGAAACAGCTAGTCGGAAAGAAATGAGCAAGCATGGCTTTCAAGCTTGTCTCCCTGTGCACCTTAACACATTTTAGGGAGAACCACCCAACCTTGCCAAAGGGCTGTATCTGTGCAACTTCCATTGACAACAGCCATTAATTGGGAAAGACATCACAGCTAATGACCAACTGAATACCCTAGATCATAAGGGCGGCGGTTGTGTATACAGAAAAGAGAATGCAGAGAATACCAACAACAGTGAAGATTGAACTCTGAATAGATTGAGAAGGTGGCAAACAAGCAGATATGTCAATATTGACTACCAGCTTAGATGTGCCACAATCCAAAATCTATAACAATGAGTGTGGTGGTGGTGTGAGTGGGGGGGTTGACCATGCAATTTGACTGTTGGTAAAACAGATCAAGAAGGTGGCAAACAAGCAGATACGTCAATAAACAAATCATGACCATGCAGACTGTTGGTAAAATAAAAATATACTCAAGTAAGAATCAAGCTAACTTTTAAAACAAATATATATGATACAAGATGAGGAAGGGAATTTCAATGCAAAAATCTGTAGGCAAATGCTGGTTCTCAATAAGCACCGAAGAAGAGAAGAAAAAAAAAATTATATATATATAGAGAGAGAGAAATGCTGGTTCTCAAACTTACCGAGATAAAATCAAATGCTTTGGTATCCTCTTTCTTTGAACTGTTCATCACAGAACTGGGAGTTCGGGTTGGAATATTTGGATTGAAAATATCAGGAAGAGGTGAAGAATATACTCCTTTAGTTCCAGCAGCATGACTGACACCAGTATTTTGAGATTGCAAATTTCCCACCTGTTGGAAGTTTGATATTGTTGATAAGAACTGCTGCTGTGTCAAGAAATTCCCCACGGCACCATAATTCACTGGCTGAGAAGGAAAAGCAGGACTGAACATTAAGCCAGATGGTATATTATATGCCATAGGACCCAAAGCAAACATAGGATTCACATTCATCCCCGCTTCTTGAGAACCATCAAGTATTCCATTGAAAACATTGTTAGAAACCAGGTGATTGGGATTCATCGTGGAGTCTGAGAAGATGGTTTCAGAATGTGCCCCAGGGGAGGCCCCTTTCTGTTGAGTCATTGAGGCATTTTCACTGATTGACAAACCAGCCATGAAATCATGAACATCTTTTTTATGATTTTCCTCCTGCTGCAGACCTTCAAAATTGGGCCCAAAAATATCAAATGGTTCAGGTCCATTTCCATTTCCATTTGCTGCCATATGGACCTCATTTGCCCCTGGTTTATCAACGTTCATTCCAGAAAAAATATCAGACACGTGTTCTTTATCATCATTGGTGTGAAATGAGACATCAGCAAATGGGTCATCATCATTTTTATGTTCACTGGCACTTACACCAGTGCCTAAACTGTCTCCAAATAAATCATCAAATATGGGGACCGTTGCTGTCTTCTGTTCCAGAATGTGTTGGTCACTCTGCGTTTTAATAAAATCTGCTGCAGTATTGGAATCATCAGGACCACTGGTGTCTATTAAGTCGGGCATCTGAACAGTACTACTCTCAGACTTTATTGGCTTTTCTGGATGACCCATTCTGCTGCATGTCTGTTCTCCACCCAGAAGGTTTAACACCTGCACATGAAATACCACATATGTTTCTTTAAACTAAAAATTCCTCCACAAATAGACTTGCAACATGAACTCACAATATAGAATTCTTTGACAAGCTACAGATCGCATTGGACATCTCTACAATAAAATTAAGAAAATTATCATATTGTTTTGACAGGTAGATTATATTCAAAACAAACTAGGAGCGTAACCTCTGTACACCAGGTGTATACAATCAAACTATAAACATCCAAGAAACAGAGCTCTCCCCAAAAACATTTCAAGAGCAAAATAAGCTTCACAATAGTTTCCTCAACGGCTAAAATTGAAACTAATGGATTAAAGACATTCAATCTACGTATGGACAACTAACTTCTCAAAAGTATGCTACACATGAAGCACATGGGTGCTACCTTCCAAGCTTTAAGGACTCCTTGGAAGGGCACCCACCTGCCCAAGACTGAATAAGCACACAAACCGAGGCCAGCATAGACCAGGAAACACCAAAAATGGGAGGAAAAAAAAAAGAACTCCGTAGCTCTCTCGCCACCTCACGATAAAGTAAGTGGTCCAACAACTCCTTATCTTTGTGGAACATGCAACACCAATTAGGAAAATAGAATCAAGAGCAGCTATCCACACAAAGAAAGGCACCTTCAACTAAGCCCCTGACTTCCAATTGTTTTCCCAAGGAAAACAATTGCTTGATTCCCCCCACAAGAACAGATGGAAACATTTAACTGAATTTTCCATTCCCTCCCATTATGTATTGTATCATATTGCTGATATTGGTGATGGTGACAATTTGCAGTCAACAATAGAATTCCATCAGATTGTTGATTATGTTCTACTCCACACATTCTATTGAGTAAAATAAAGATAAAACACCAAGGTAAAAGATAAAACACTAAAGGCACATTTGGTTACTGGATAAGGGAGGGAGGATTTGATTAGTTATCCATGAGACCCATTTATACCACGTTTGTTTGCACAATTTGGCGATGTTACAATGTGTCTGAATATGACCCTTTATTAATCTCCCACAAACGGGGATAACCTCAATCCCGTGGTTTGACCCTTGGACTCTAGGGAATAAAGTGGAATAGGATAAAAACTTATGGACAAAGTTCCCAAACATATAATAATGCCACCCCCAATCTAGTCCTTCCCAAACATAGAATGGGAAACTATACATTAGCTTCCATAATCCTCTTTATCCCATGGGATACATAATACCCCCACCCATCCAAGGATGGTCCTATCGCGCATTTATCCTATCTAGTAACCCAGTGTTTTAAAAGGCTCTGGGCGCACCGAGACGATAAGGTCTTCTATAGCCTAAGTGCGAAGCACGAGGCAAGGCGTGCGCCTCACCAAAGCGAGGTGCAAGGAATGGAAGAAAAGAAAACTTATAAAATATGCAAACTTTTCAACATAACCAATATATATGTAGAATTTCAAAAATCACAAAGCAAGCTTCACAAGCATAATAGAGAAGAAAAAACAGAGAGATAACCTAGCGAAGAAGCAGGAGAAGAAAAGAAGAAGAGAAGAATAAAATAAAATAAGAAAAGAAGTAGAGAAGAAAAATAAAGAAAGAAAAAACAGAGGCAGACCCACAAAGAGAACCCATTGAAGAAGAGAAGAAGAAAATAAGAAAAGAATAGGAGAAAAATAAAGGAAGAAAAAACAAAGGCAAAGAGATAACCCAACCAAGAAAACCCAATGAAGAAGAAGAGAAAAACCTGAAGAAGAAGTCAAAGTCGTGCCGTCTTCTCACTTTCTGATTGCTTTTTTTAATCTTCTCCACCTAAGATTTTTTTTTAAAAATCAGTTTCTGCTCTCTTTTGACCACGTTTGGTCATTTTATATTGAAGAGTTTTGATTCCCTATGGGTATGCCCACCAAAAAAACACTTAATCAACAGTTGGGGAGTAGAAAAATAGGTAAAGCCCATGAAGCTCACACCTTGTGCCTCAAAAAAAAACCCTTGCCTTAGTGCCTAAGTTGCGCCTTGCGTATTTGCCTCACCTCGACCTGTTTGAAGCGTGAGGTGTAGGCGCGTGCCTAAGCGTGCCTTTTAAAACACTGCAGAAACCAAACATGGCCTAAGGACTTGCAAGCAGAGTTTATAACAGTTCCTTATCACGTCCATAAGAATTATAAAAAGTAAATTTAGCTCTCAATATGAGAAGAAAGAAAAGGAAACTGGACAAAGTGAGTCACATGAGAGTGAAACTGACTGGCCAGCAGAAATCAACGATGAAGCTGAAAGCCTAGTTGGGCTGATATAATGAAATATCTTGCTATAGTTGGTTCATATTCTTGAAACTTTTCTTACAATTGTTAAAACTGTTTTTTCCTTCATCAGATACAAGCATATATTGAAAAGACATGCTCCCCACAACTCATATCTCTTGTATTCCTATTACCAAATTGAAATTACCCAAAAAGATATTTAGGCATACATATAATCTAAAAAAGTTAGGGGGCACTTCTGGTATCGTTTTCGTTTCTGTTTTTGTTCTCGAACAAAAAACAAAAAAACAAATAAGAAAACTGATTCTTAAAACTTGTTTGGCAAATTGTTTCTAAAAAATGTTTCTTTGAAAATTCTTAAAACGCTTTTTTAGAAAAATTAAGTTCTTTATTGAATTTTCAAAAAATTGTTTTTGTACAAAATTAAAACGATATTAAAAAAATGGTGTTTTCAAACTTTTCATTATTTTTATTTTTGAGACACAAAAAACAAAAACATCGAAAAAGAAAACCATACCAAGTAAGTAGGTTGCATTAATGCCATTCCACCCCTTCCCCAAATTGGGAAGCAATAAATTCAATAAATTGACCAAACTTTACTAAAACTTCCAATTAAAAGGACCAAAATTCACAAACGGTACAATCTTCCCCAATGGAAGAACAAAATAGTTATCAAGCAGGCCAGTCACAAATTATGGGCCTTGATTGAGCCAGTAATTGTTCTTTTAAACTAATTTAAGCCAAAAAGAAATGAAAGATCAACTTGAGATTGCACACTCCATCAAGACAAGATAGCAAAGACAGTATCATTTGCAAGTTCTTATTTTTTGAATTGGTAATAAGTCCACTTATCAAAGGTAAATTGAGTAGACTATAGTTCGTCTACAGGCTAGATCATTCTAATTGCCCTTGTTCAATGAAGGTTTGTTAGTTAAAGCTATGGCCTGTTGAATCCAAAATGCACCTCAAAAATAAATTTATACTATTATATATGTGAAGGGTTCTCAAGCTATTGACACAAACTGTCTCATATTTTGGGTTTTCCCAAAATGCCCTTATATTTGGAGTTTTTGTAAAATTATATAAAGGGGAGGAAGGGCCTCGAACCTGAGTATGGATTCAGTAAAGAAGGCTCCTACCACTTGAGCAACACACACTAAATGTGCATTTTTCTTTGTCATTATTCATATAATATTACTTTTCTTTTCTTTTTTCCGAGTTGCACATGCACCGTGTGCGGACCACTAGTACATAAATAAAATAAAAAACTTTTATTCCTGAATCATCAAGAAAAGTATCCAATCCATTAGGTCCTCAGGGTCCAATTAACACCATACCTTGAGATTTATTCACTCAATAAACTCATTTGAGCTTAAACTGCATTCAGAATCTATCCATCTTTGGTTAAAGCTCCTTTCAAGATGATATTAAAGAGCATTCCCAACCTCAAAAGAGTGTACCTTCACAATGATTTCATAAACTTGTGACTGAATCTACTTGTTCAAACTCTCTATGGTTAGGAGGGGACATCTTTCCTAGATAGATAATGCCTATTTATTTATCACTCTTCTAATGCAAAAATCCTCCAAGGCATTCTCAAAGCAATTCCAATAAATTATCCACATTTGCCATAAAAAAGTCGAGAGTAAAGACGATCTAAACCATGAGTCTTATAACTAACAAGCCCAAGCACCATATCTTTAACCTCTTAATTCTAAGAGAACTATAACCACAGAAAACTGATCTTCTAGCATCTTTGAGATGATATCTTCTTCATACATGGGTCAGGACATGCATTCATGAAGTAAGCTCCTCAACAAGTTCAGAAAATTAGTGTTTTACATCCTAAAACTTTTTTCTCTTTTCATCCAGGGATCAACGATGCCTAGTTCTTGAGGCAGTTAAGCAAGAAGATATTGATTGTGCTGTCATTTGAAGTCTATTGTCTGCAAGCTGATTAATGCCAATTTATTTGATATTCATTAGGCCATGTATAAAGGAGACTAATTAGCCATAAAGTTTAGTTCATCTTAACATGGCTCTACAAACAGAGAGAGAGAGAGAGAGAGAGAGAGAGAGAGAGTATGAATCTCAAGCACATCAATATGAAATAATCTCACCTTGTTTGACTTTTCCCTCAAAGAAGCTTGGGGAGACTCAGAACATCTTACGACAGCATCTTTATTCTCACTAAAATAAGACGCCAAGATAGAAAAACTGTCATCATCATTTTTCCTCAAAATTGCCTCAAGAACGCAGACAGCTTTCATCCGGACCTGAAAAGTAATCAAATATATACAGGGTGAAGAAGTTCAGTGAAGCACTTCATAAACAAAGCAGTAGCAGCATCGGATATAGCCTTAAATCCCAGTTGGTGTTGTTTGTGCGTGTGTGAGAGAGAGTGAGAAGTGGGAAGAGAGTCTGTACACAGTCATAGTTTTTATAACTCATATAACCTTCCCCTTTTTTTTCCTCTTAAAAATGAGCATGCTGGCCATGAATGAATCTCCATGTATGTGCATGTGGGGTGATATTTTAATATTTGTAAAACCAGTACGTCAATGTAAAGAAAACATGCCTGCCACAAAGGAGATTGGAGTTTTGATTCAAGGGCATGACTTAAAGCCAATTCATTCAACTTTGAGGCCTCCACAAGGAAAACTTGAAGCGCATCTCTAGTGGGTTGTAGGCGTACACCACCGGATGTTACAATGGTCTCCAATAACCTCTCCTCACGAGTCTTATTCTCAGCATAACTTGAACTGTCATCCCCATTGGTTGTTTCTGTCTGGTTAATACTCAAATCCTGACCCCAACGTCTGGCATTGACATTATTTGAGAACCGAGAAGTGCTCTGCATTTCACTATGGTGTTCAACTCGATCATAACTATCTGAAAAGTCAATTTCTGTAGTCAATGACCTCCGAAGATTAGGACTCTTGTAACTTCCAGTGTCATTCTTCTTCGGTGATTGGGCTTGTGTTATACTACTCAATCCATGCTTTATTGTAGCACTGCCAATACCAACCACCTCACGTAGAAATGATTTCTTATCTTCCGAAGGCATTTCAAAGTTTGTATTCCCAAAACCTTCTATCCGTTTATTAAGATCCTCTGCAGGGGCCGGCTTATTGTCATCTCCAGAAAATATAGCAGATATTGCTTCATGGGCTGTCTCCCTCACAGCCTTATTTAAAGCATCCCCCTTCAGAGGATCCAACTTGCCCTTGTAGTGAAATAGCTGGCGCACAGCTGCTGAATTTCTTTGCATTTCCCTCCTGAACTCCACACCAGACTTCCCCACTGCATACTTGATCAGCCTCAAAGCCTACAAAAATTCCAAAATAAATGAGAACCAAAATGTATAAAATTCATATTGCTAAGTCAAACTAGATCACTATTTTTCCTATTAATCTGATTTTCTATTCGTCTAGTAAACAAATCACTATTAAATTGGAATTGTTAAATGGATTTTCATGTAAAACCATTCCAAACTATGGTACTGTTGAGTCTCACAAATCTGAACATCTTTCTCAGGAATTCATTTTAGGGAAATATTTTCAGGGCCCATGAATGTTAGTTAGCTCTCTGACCTCCTAGTGTTAAGAAAAACAAAACTACTAAAAGATTAGAAAAGGAAGAACACAGATGACTATCCACCATGAAATACAAAAACCCTGTTCTGAGCAGATTCAGCTAATTAGATCAACTCAATCAAAAGATAAGAAATGATTAAATGAACCAACCAATACATGAAAAACACACAAAAATAAAATAAAATAGTAAGTAATTGAAGCTCAACCACAATTTCCTTAATTACTGTTCTACTTAATTAGAAATTACAAAAGATAATACCTTCTGTTTGACAATAGGGCTCTTATGATCAAGGCGTTTGAATATAAATTCAGAGACTTCTTTGACAATACTGACATGAGAAGACCGAAGAAGCTCGCAAATCTCCTCCAATTTGTACACAGGAGTGACTTTGTCTTCGTCCGATGTCGCACCATCGATCATCCGCGATCGCCAGTACGATTCAACGGCTCTCCTGCTCGAATCCATGTCTCTCTAAACCCCCCACAAAATCCAAAAACACACCACCAAGCTCGAATTCGATTCGAAACCCTAGAAAAAAATCGAATGATTGGAAGAACTCACAACGCTGATTGACAGATTCAATACAAAATTCAAAAATTGATTGCAGGATTGAAGAGTAATTGATCTCAGAGGTTGATTATTTGAAGTTGGAACAGTCGGAATTGCGTAGTTTGAATTGAGAAGCTGCTTCTTGTTCTTCTTCTTCTTTCTTCTTCTTCCGAGTATTGGGGACCCATTAGACCTGACCTTTACGGTAGGATTGACGAGTGTAAACCACGCGCGATGCTGTCGGGTCGGGTGATCCCAATGAAAACGCTAGCTGGGCTGAAACCACCCAATCATTTGCCCTATTAAAATAGATCCTAATAGTTAAACTTAATTTCTATCAAGTTCTATTAAAAATAAGTTTTGATAAAATTATTGCTAAAAATAACTTTTTTGTAACAATTTTTTACATATGTCGCTAAAAATTAACAATTAGTGACTTTTTTTTGTCCTGATTTTTATAAATTGTCACTAAAATTTATAATTAGTGACTTTTTTTATGACAAATTTTTCTCATAGGATCTATTAGACAATAAATTTACTTATTAGGATCTACATGTAAGTACCCCAAAAGTTATTGTGTAGTCTTTCGACCATCGAGATATGGTGTTCTAACAACCAGTGAGGTTTATCACCATTATATTGAATAAAATTTTGAAAGGTAAATTACGTTGATCTTGAGGTTTATGACAATTACAGAAATTTCCCTTGAAGTTTTTGAAATGACATTAACCTTCCTTTTGCTTTGTCTTTCTATTTCAGATGCCTCTTGTGGGAATATATTTTTAGGCTTATCCACGTGGCCTAGGTTGTTAGCTGAGGTGCCATGTGGGGAATATAAGGATAATGAGGTATGATGCAATCATATCAAAATTCGATATATTCAAATAGAGGATAAGAGTACTAGATGATGTTAGACTATTTATTTGGGTAAGGTTGGATTCTTAAGAGAGTTGATCATTATCCAAATAAGAGGAGTCTTGGATAAGTGATATCTTTGTAAAAAATAGGGTCCCTTGAAATAAGACTTCTAAGGAAAGTTGGACACTAATCATTATAAAAGTAAGGCACCTCCATAGGTCTAAGGCATGCTTTTTGATTATGAGTTATTTACATAAGTTGATATCTTGTGAGATAAGTGATTGACTTGATTGTCGGAGTGCCTTCGAGTGGACAAGCTACCGCGGTATTTTTTATATTCTTGTGCGCAGGTGTTGGGCTTAATCTATTCTTTCGTGTGCTTTCCAACTAAGTTCCCTAGATCCTAGCACTGAGATTTGTTTGGTTGTAAGGTCAAAAATCAACACCCACAAATTGACGTCGTCTGTGGGAATTTAATTGGAATATATGGCCATCATTATGCAAGATCAATGTGTCGAGGATGACGAGTTCAGCGAAGATGAAGAACGCATCGACATTGACAGAATAAAGACCCTTCCAGAATGGATGAATGCAAAGATAGCAAGAATGAGCACTTCCTATGAGGTGAAGGCGACAAGTATGAAATGATCGAGTTAAGTGAGCAGATTCCATATGAACGAATTTACCCTAGGTAAGCAGATCCTAGATGAAAGACCTCAGCCTAAGTGAGCAGATCTTAAAAGGGAAGACATCGGTCTAGATGAATAGGTCCGAGAAGACAAGAGCTCAACCTAGATGAGTAGATCCCAGATCCCAGAAAACAAAATTTTAGCCTAGATGAGTAGGTCCAACATGACAAGAGCTCAACCTAGGTGAGCAAATCCCAAATGACAAGATCTCAACCTTAATGAGTAGGCTTGAGAAAAGAAGACATTGGCCTAGGTGAATGAATCCCAATTGGAAGAGCGCGACCTAGGTGAGCAGATCACAGATGAACGATCTCACCCTAACTGAGCAGATCGAAGAAGGCATCACCTCAGCCTAGATGAGTAAGTCCGAGAAGAAAAGACATCAGTCTAAGTGAGCATATCCCAGGTGGAAGAGAACGACATAGGTGAGCAGATTGCAGATGAACGATCTCACCCTAGATGAACATGACCTCGATCTAGGAGTAGGTTCAAGAAGAGAAGACATCGACCTAGGTGAAACAGATCTTAGATGGAAGAGCTTGGCCTAGGTGAGCAGATCCTAAATAAATGACTTCACTCTAGGTAAGTAGATCCAAGAAGGCATGACATCGACCTAGCTGAGTAGGTCCGAGAAGAGAAAACATCGACCAAGGTAAAACAGATCCTAGATGGAAGAGCATGGCCTAGGTAAGTAGATCCTAGATGAACGATCTCACTCTAGGTAAGTGGATCTACGAAGGTATGACATCGGCCTAGATGAGTAGGTCTGAGAAAATAAGACATCGACCTAAGTAAGCAGACACCAGAAGAAGGAGCTCAGCCTAGGTGAGTGGATCTACGAAGGCATGACCTCGGCCTAAATGATTAGGTCTAAAAAAAGAAGACATCGACCTAGGTGAGCTAACCCTAGATGGATGAACTCGGCCTAGGTGAGCAGATCCCAAATCAATGACCTTACTCTAGGTGAGTGGATCCAATAAGGCATGACCTCGGCCTAGATGAGTACGTTTGAGAAAAGAAGGCATCGGCCTAAGTGAGCATATCCTAGATGGAAGAGCTCGACCTAGGTGAGCAAATCCCAAATGAATGAGCTCATCCTAAGTGAATAGATTCAAGAAGACAAGACCTTAGCCTAGATGAGTAGGTCTAGGAAGAGAAGAATCGGCCTAGATGAGTCGCTCCTAGATGAACGAGCTCACCCTAGGTGAGTGGATCCAAGAAGGCATAACCTTAGACTAGATGAGTAGGCCCTAGAAGAAAATACCTTGCCCTAGGTAAGCATGCCCAAGAAGTGAAAAGCGCGACCTAGGTAAACAGATCTCATAAGAAAATGCCTTAATCTAGGTATGCAAATTCAAGAGGAGAAGGCCTCAGCCTAGGTTAGCAGATCTAATATGAAAGGAGTTCGACCTAGGTAAACAATTTTGAAAAGATCAAAGCTTACCGGAGGCGAACAGAGTTGAGATAAAACAAAGCCTACCCGAGATAGAAGGTCTCAACGATAAGGGATTGTCAAGGCCTTGGAATGTGGCTTGGAGAAATTTGAAGCTTGGCTCTAATGATGTCGATAACCTCAGCCGAAATTAAGAATAAATTGAAGAGAAAGACCATTGAAATGAAATCGAAGAAAACGACCCTTGAGTGGGGAACGACCCCTGAGCGAGTTAACTTAGGCTTGCCTAGAAGACGGAGCTAAACTAAGTTAAAGAGTTGTTTCAATGGGAAACTATGCGATTAACATAGACTTGCCAAGAAGGGAGAGCTGAAACTAAGTTAAAATGATGTTTCAACGAGGAACTGTGCGTTTAACTTAGGCTTGTCGGGAAGGCAAAGCTGAATTAAGTTAAAGTGATGTTTCAACGAGAAATAAGATGAAATTAACCATGACTTTGCCTAGGGGGCAATAATGTCGATTTACTGACTTGGTTAGTTTGTGACGAAAAGTCAAGGTAGTTAGTACTGGGAAATCAATGCACTAAGATTAAGCCTTAAGTGATTTGTTTAGACGAGCTAAACACGATGACATCAGTTATGGATGTTTAGGTCTGCAAGACTTAGACAAGAACCAGATACTTGCTCATTAATGAGAATGTAAGTTATGCTTACATTCACATTAAGGGACAGAAAGTAAAGGTGAGTTAATGAAGACTGAGTTAGTGACTTGAAAGTGATACTTGGTAAAATTTTCAAACAAATTTGGTGAGATGAAGGTATTCGAGGTAGCACTTATACCCAAGATGACATGATTCGAGGTGATGGTTTTATCCAAGATGTGAGTTTAATCTAAGATGTGACACTTAGAAAATTTTTAAGTATTAGAGACATGAAAATTTCGAGTATACCTACATCAACAGAAGTAAAGGAGATATCCAACACTTAGCTAAAAAACATACATTGTATTCACATAAACAAGTTACATCACCAGAAAGCACGTTGGCCTTGCCAAAATAGATGGAATATTGTTAAGGAAATTATTGTTCGCAAGTAGACAAAACATTGAAGAAAATGACAAATGAAAGTAAAATCCTAAGTGGTAGCTTCTGGATTTGTGACAACAGAGGTTTTAGTCTGACCAACTTTGGCAATTGTAGTTGTATTGGCTTTAGTTGTCAGAGTTTCAATCTTGTCAGCCTCAAAATCGGCTATGATCTCTTCATCGATTTTTTTTCAGAGTTTTTTCGACAGTCTTGTTAGCTTGGTTGGTTGTAGGAGAAGTGCTTTGACTTCTTCATCATCTCTAGTGAGGTCCAGAATGTCGTCATTTAAAGTGTAGGACTTAACTCCCATTTGAGGGTCTTCTTTTTCTTTATCTGTTTCCTATGAGCTATCAGGATCTTCGGTATGTAGTCCTCGGGGACAGTTGTGGCATTTAGGGTAGCAACCCGTCTGAGACCATAGTCTCTGTTGTATGAGATGTTGACCTGCTTCTTATATTGATCTCGGACGGAGTCTTGGCCTTCTTGAAAGGTCTTGGCATCTGCTTTCTTGATCTCTTGTTTCTTATTGGCTAGTGCCTCTACTAGTTTCTTCTCAGCTTCAACAACTTTCTTTTCGGCGGCCTTAGCAATGGCCTCGGCTTTTCCTGCCTCAGCTTTCGTAGCAGCAACTTGGTTCTTTTATTTCACGTGCTTCTCTTCTGAGATGTTGAGTTACTGGAGAAATTCGTTAGATTTCACGATTCGCTCCTTTCGGAAGGCGAATAGCCCTACAGTTTGGACTCTACTTGTGGTTCTAAATCTGATTTCACAAGTGCAATGTGAAATAGTGCAAACATAAAAGAGTCCAAATTAGGCAATTCTTTTTGAAAAATCGATGTTTGAATCAAATGTCAAAAATGGACTGTTTTGCCAGATTTCAGAGTCGCCACCTAAATATTTTTTTGGAAAATTTAGGAAACCCAAGACTCGTGCCAAAGGCCATTAGTCCGTCATAACCAAAGTGTCTCGGCTCGGGAACTTAGGTACGAGAGGGGAAGGTCATGAATTGAGCACCCCATTTGCCCGATCAAAGATCAGCCTCTACTAATCATGATGTGTTTTTTATTTACATTATATACTCTTGTTCCAATTATTAAACTAAATTTACTAGGCAATACACGCAAGTATAGACCAATTTGCAAAAATTTGAATATTTTGTT